CCTGATCCCCTTTTGATTAGTATTTGCTTACCAGAGATCTAGCTGAGACAATACTCCTCCAGTCTTATGAGTATGATCTAATCCGTTCCACGGATGATGCATTCCTAAAGTACTGATCTTTAAAAACTCGAGAAAATAAGATATTTGGTTTCTCAATTAAATGCCAAAACTACTTTTCCAGCATAGCCGTATTAAAGTCTGTGATATCTTTAAATCTCAAACTGCCTTTATCTTTGTTTAAACATAGCCCGTCCCATGTTTTCCAGTGCATACCTTTTGTACTTCCTCCCGGATTCCACCAAAATTATTCTACCTCACTCGTTAATAATTTGTCCACTGTATTTGGAATGTGATAGCAAGACATCACATGATTTGGTAAAGCCGTAACCACTGACTTGATAATCACCTCTTTTTCCCCTTTGGTGAAGAACTTAAAGATCCATCCATTAACTCTGTTATTTAACCGATCTTGAACAAAACCAAAGACTTGTATTTTCGATCCCCCCCAGACTCTCTGATATTCCGAAGTATGATCTCATTCCACCTACATTATGAATCCCCAAAATATTGCGCATCTCCCCCAAGTGGATTCGTCAATCTTAAATCCAAATTGGATAGAAGATTTCTGGAAATTTTTCAACTGACCCGATACTACCTCATATTCCTTTAAAATCCTCAAGATAGTTTGACACTCCTCATTTTGTGCCTTACAGAAAAATAAACTATCGCCTGCAGATAATAAGTAAGATACGGAAGGGAATGCCCTAGCCACTTTCATCCCATAATTTTTTTCTCGTTCCGCCTTTTTAATATTTTCAATTAGAGCCTCCGTGCACATGATAAAAAGATAAAGAGATAAAGGGTCCCCTTGGTATAAGCCTCTCTGTGGAACTATAAGCCCTCTAGGATGACCATTTAATAAAATTCGATATTGAACCGATGATATGCACTCCATCATTAGTTTAATCCAATGAGCATCAAATCTCATCTTATGGAGAATGGCCTGTATAAAGTCTCATTCCACCCGATCATACGCTTTACTCGTATATGTTTTAATGCCATACATTTGTTTTGGCAAGATTTATTAGCCCTTAACTCATGAAATATTTCCTGTGATATAAGAATATTATCAGAGATCAACCTTCCAGCCATGAACGCCGAATTTGTTTCCGATATCAGTTTAGGAATGCATAATTTCAGAATATGGCATAAAAACTTTGAGATGATTATATATATCACATCACAGAGGCTTATAGGCATGAATCCTGTCATTGTTGTAGGTCTCTCTAGTTTAGGAATCATGCAAATATTTGTAATGTTGTGCTGTGGGTCCAACTCCTCAGTAACCAAAAAATTGTTAACCAGATGCAGCAAATCCTTTTTAATGATAGACCAAGAATGTTGAAAAACAGGACTGTCCTTCCATCCAGTCCTGAAGTTTTCTCTGAATGCATCACAAATAGTGACTGTCGTACCTCCTCCTTCATAGCCTCTCTTAGTAACTATGGTTCATCTGAGAGGTAATAGACGGATGAATCTCCTCTAAAAAGCTGTCAAATTCTGAGGGGGAGGTAGTAGTAAATAACTCATCAAAATAATCCATAGCTACCTTTTCAACTCTCTTCTCCTCTGTTATCTAATTTCCTTCTTTATCTTGTAAACCCATAATCATGTTCCGAGTTCTACGTTGTTTTGTCAAAGCATGATAGAACTTAGTGTTAATATCCCCTGCTGTATTCCACATATTCCAACTTTTGTGTTGTCAGTACTCTTCTTTATCCCTATATGCTTCCTGAAGTTTTCGAGAGACCTTTAGTATTTCCTCCTGGGTCCGATTATTATCAGTTTGCACCTCTTCACGAGATTTTTGAAGCTCACTAATTTTTTCCTTTCCAAATAGAGGATTATTTGTTCTCCAACTGGCGATTTCATGATGACAGTTACTAACCTTTGTTTCAAAATCCTTAGAACTGTTACTATCAGGATCTCCTCAGCCTTTCCCAATGGATTCCAGAAAATCATTATGTTTGACCTATCTTTTATCAAACCTAAATTGACCGCTCCTCTTGGGTGTTGATCCTCAAGTTAAGCCACTATACAGAGATGATCAGAATCAACCATGCCCATATATTCAGTGTAGGAACATGGGAAAAGAGTATGTCAATCTTCATTTGCTAAAGCTCTGTCCAAACGACATCAAACCATTACTTTTCCTTTTCTCTTTGCCAAGACAAATGATTCCCACGAGTTGGGAACTTCAGAAGACCAAAATTTCTTATCATATTATTAAAGGAAGGAAAGAAGCTGCATGTCATAAGGATCCTCCATCCTTTCCATAATTTCCCGTATTCTCATTCAGATCTCCAATTATAAACTAATGTTCTAATCTTGCTAAACTATATCTTGTTAATCTTTCCTAGACTTGCTATTTAACTTTTGAATATGCTCTCCATAAACACAGGTTAGAAAAGCTTGTTTCTCCCTTGTTAGTGCTTCCACATCTATCATCTTATTACTTGAGTATAGTATTATGAATTTTGTACTTGTTATTATAGTACAGTGAGAGTCCTCCACTCTTCCCGTTTGGATCCACTGTTACCAAATTATCAAAATCAAAGTGAGTTTAAAGTCCTTGAAGAAAAGAAAGTTCTTGTTTTGTTTCCGATAGAAATAAAAATTCTGGTTTATGTTTATCCCAAATTTCTCTAAGATAGCTTATCGTCTATTTGCTTCCCATGCCTCTGCAATTCCAACTAAGGATTCTCATAATAAAAAACCTTGATATGCTATGTAAAGCTAGAATAGCCGATGTGATGATACCCTGTGTCTCTGACTTTCTTATTCTTATAAGAAATTAAATCTAAGGCATATACCAAAAATCTGAAATGGCATCATGAGTGTGAAATTTAGATTTTCAAACATCATGTAATCCCACATAAGTAAGCCATGAAAACCATACATGAGTTGCGTTGACTGTGACATTGGAACCATTCATAACTATGACAACAGTTCCCATTACCAAAAACATCTCATTTGACGATATCACATACTGGTCCATTATAAATTTTAGTTCCAGAAAAATCATATCCCAAAACCTCGCCGTCAAACACCATAAATCCATGTCTATATATCTGCACCATTGACTTTGTGAGAAATAAAACACTCTCATTTTCTCAAACATGCCAAAATCCATTCCATTACATTGTTCTCCAAAGGGCCTCTTCTTTAAGTGACAAAAACTGAAAGCATCATGATAGCAAAGGTCAAATGTTGTTGCCGTATCTTTAAACTCAGTGAGTTACTTCGTAGCAATGCAAAAGCGTCCGGTGCCCAGCCATTGAGATCGTATAGTTCTGTGGTTTAATGATCGAAGTAACCACAACCTAGCCCGAATCCAGCATCCGATCCAAATACAGAATATCATCAACCATAAAACAGTCCAAGGCCATCAACCAAAGGAACATAAGTAAAACAGAAAAATAACCTTAATGAGTGATTTGAAATTCTCGTTCCAGATTAAAAGAATCATATTCATGGTTCTGTTTGCTAGTGTATGAACTTGTAGTCCTTGTAAACATAAACTTATCCAAACAACCATATTTTCCTATATTTCTTAACTTCCCATTCAGTTCCACTATGAACTCTGTTAACTCAAGGCTGAGCCTAAAATTGGGAACTCCCAGTATCTCAAATAGCTGAACGCAAAATAAAAAGAGTATATGCGCTTAATACCATGGCTAAGACTATCACTAGACCCATATACCAGTCAGTGTGCAGGAAATGACAAAAATTACTAAGTTATTTCCAAGACTTCCCGAACAGTTTCTCTAAGACATACCTATAGGGCCTGATGTCTCCTTTCCTTCTGTAGCCAATACCATCCGTCCTCCATTTTCTCCACCACCAACCTAGTTTTCTGTTCTAAAAACTTCTTCCCATTGAAAGCACCTCCAAAACGCTTCACCAATCTTCACTTCTTCTCCCTGTAATTGGTTTGAAGAGACCAGCCAAAGAATTTGTATCAATACTAACGCCTAAATCCAAAGACTTGGCCGAGAATGAAGAAACCATGTTGCTTCCCTCCCACCATTAGAATACCAAAGAGAATCAATACACATCAAATGAACTAATTCAATACCAAATAGTATAAGTACATTCTTAAACCTATGATATACCATACACCATAACCAAAGGGAACCGTTTTATTCAATATTATAAACTTGCCTAAGTAAAGGAGCCACATCGGTAACCCGATCAGAAAAAAATTAAACCAATTGAGAAAAACATAAATGCTCAAAGAGCTTATTAAAATAAAACCAAAATGGCAGCCAGAGATTACCAAACACTCCCATAATTCTTCTTTTATGTAGATCTGATCCATAAAACTTAAGGTTTTGAGTTTGGTTTAGGGTTTAATGGACCATTTTCCTCTACCTTTTTGGAGTCACCACCTTTACGGACCGCTTGCTTGACAGTGGTGCGCTTGCGAGGTGACAGAAGTACATTAACAAATTTTTCGTAGTGGATCCTCCCACAGTAGATGAGAACAAGAGAACAACTGCTTACGTGCACCTCCCTTCCTCTCCATCTCCCCAGTAATGACCTCCATCTCCTCTATCTTGTCAAGAACAAAGGTCTCCTCGAGACCTTCACTGCTAACCTCCTAATTCCCGTCTTGTTTTTCACCATCTATGAGCTTTTCAAACTCATCTTCAATTCCTAGATTCTCATCCATCCCCTATGCATTAAACTGATCCCCCTCTAACTCCATTCTGTCATCTACGACAGTTTGAAATCCATCCTCTACCATTTCAGTAGACAAGTCTATAGGTTTTGCTATTACCTATGCTGAATTTAGTTGACCCAAATATGCCACATGATGCGTTACTGGTGAAGGGATGGATGCGTTTGTCCTCTCCATCACTTGTTTAGCACTCTCCAAAACCCTCCCCGCATCTGGACCTCACCTTCTTCATGTGTTTCCTCATGATAACCATAGCTCAAAGGTACTCCTTCTCTTCTTTGGCCACAAGAAGATAGGTTCCTTTCTTCTTGAGAATGGCTTCGGGACTGTTCCCCTCGGGGTCCTCTGTATCGTGAGCCTCCTTCCTCAGCTCCGCTATGGCTATGGTATGTTGAAGTTCTCTTGTTCCCTCTTTCAGGCACCTTAACCTTTTTGGTGTCTTGTTCATCATACATTTTTTTCTTGCCCTTACTGTGATATCCTCTTTGATCCTTAACACTGTCTTGATACCCCCATCTCCCATGATCACCACTCCCTTGTAGCTTCTTGGGCAATCATCCCTCCTTCCCACTACCTCTTCTCTGATCTCTCACTTCTTCTCTGGACTTTTGGTAGTCAAAGGTCAGTGATCCATGTCGTGACAGAGATTGAAACATGTTTTGAAATATCCAAACAGTTTCTCATACTTCAAAGTAACTAGTGCCTCTTCTTCCTCATAAAACTTTCCACCTTTGAGATCAATAGTTGTGTCAAAGCACAACTCCTTAAACCCATCCATCACCACTCTTATCTTTCCCGTATCCAGATCCACATCCATTGTCTATCTAATGCTCTGGAAAGTTTCAGCTGACCAGAACTCAAGAGGCACACCCTGAACCTTGATCCATAATGTGATTTCCGATGGATAATTCTTTGGCATCTTCTGTTGCCACCGACCAAAAGAGAGCATCCAATAGTCAAAATGGAATTGCTGCATCTCCAAAATGGCGAGATATCTTTTTTCTTATCAAAATTAAACTGAAACATTCCCTTTCCCAAGTTTACACCAGCAACTCTATCTTCCACCTTCCATATTTTGTGAAGCATCACAGCAACAACTCAACATTTTTCCCCTCCGGATTCATACATCTTCCAATTAAGGTTTTGGAGTAGATTTTATTGAGGTTGGAGTTATCAAAGTGAGCCACAATCATCTTCAGTCTCTTTTGGGTCCCCTCACCATTCTTTATATCACTGACCTTCGCGACAAGCTGGCCCTGAGATATAAATGTTGAGACCAAAAAAGACATAACAAACTTGCTAAACTTATAGAAATTGAGAAGAGAGACTATGACACAAAAAAGTATAAAGCGCATCGCCTTTTATATTCACAACATCATCCCCAAAGCTCCTTCAAAGAGCCTACGCCATTAATGTGATATCGGCTATGAAATATTCTAAGTTTTCCCAAACCAATACCCAAAAATCCCAGCAACACAATCCAAAACTTCCTTATTAACCATATCCGTGAACCATAGTTTCTACGTCTTGTAAACTGAAGATTGTATCTTGCTATGTCGCATACCTTGTCATTGATACTCCAGATTCCGCATCACTAACCAAATCCTGATAATTCCCATCTATACTCCGATCAAGATCCAACAATCATGTACGTAAATCCCAAAACCTATCAACCATACCTCTTTCCCGATTCCGTATCTTCTTGGCCTTGTCTTCAAGATAATCATCTTCCCCACCTATTAACTCCCTATGAACTCCAAGATCCCATCCTTGAAACATAGCAAAACCCTAGTCAAAATTCGCCGTTGTCATCGCCGTATCTTTTACGGATAATTTGTATTGAAATATTTGGTTTAATTAAGTTTAGATATAAAATATTTTAAATAATTTATATATAAATATAAATTTCATTTTTTCAAATTCAAATAAAAAGTAAATCATAAATTATTATTGTTTAATTATTTTTGGTTTGAATTAATAAGTTTTAATTTTAGTTTTGGTTTAATTAAGTTTAGTAAAGTTAAGTTATAATGAACCATTTCACTTATCTTATATTTATATATTTGAAACTATAGTTTCAAGTAGTTTTTTGTTTAAATTTTCTTACACCTATAAAATTTATTTATATTAATAAATCAACAATTATCATACAATAGTTATTGTATAACATTTAAATCCAAATCAATTAACTATTTTATACCTTTGGGTCCAATATTTAAATATTAATCATTTTTTCATAATTAATTTGTTAGAATACTCTTATATTAAGTTTTATGAAAATATAAATGATTATAAGAAATTACTTACTTTAGATCATAAGTTTATTTGATCAAAAATTATATTTACAATTAGTATTTTCTTAGAATTTTAATAATTATAATTATAGTTTACATTTAAGTATGTAGCTAGATTTTGTAACTATTTTATTTTAAAAATCTTACCAAAATCAATATTTTTACTATTAAAGTTGTATATATTGTAATAAGAAGAAGCCATGTCATATTTTGGTTAAACTACGTAGCTAGAAATAAACTTGATGATTACTTATAAGCAAAACTTACAAAAATCATTTTTTTAAAGGAAATAAATATTTAAAAATATTTGGTAAAATATCAATGTTTGAGGAAGAGTTGGTGAAAAAACGCTCCAATAGGTTTAAGTGGTTGAATTTAACTTTATGAAATAAATAAAACTTTCAAACATAATATTATTTTCATGGATAGTTTTTCGTTGAGATGATAAACTTTTGTTATATCAATTTCTGGAATCATATTTAGGTTGTTCTTAAGGTCCAATCATAAAATTTGTGTACTCAACTACAAATGATGATGAAAATACAATGTTAATACAGATGACAATATAACATACCTATTTCATTTTATTTTAATTTTCATTTAAGATTTGTATACACAAAAAAATTATATACTTTTTTAAAAAAATAAAAATATCATTACATGTATTTTTTTTTTTTGAAACAAACATTACATGTATATTATACAAAAATATATTTTAACTAATAGAAAAACCGCTTGGAGGATATAAAAAATCTTATAGCATATAAAATTATTAAAATTTGCATTGAAATTATAAAACAACACTTAAAAAAATGAAAATGGTACTATACAATAAAATTTAAAAATGAAATGGAGGTAGTACTCTGTTGATTTTAATCTCAAAATCGGAAATGTATAGATGATTTAAAATTTATGAATGTTTATGTTCTTTCTCGGAGACAAATATTATCTAGCTTAAAGTATTTTCTTATTTCTTTCTTGTTTCATAGACTAAACCTCTATATATATGTTATCTTCTTAGACATTACATATCTCCTATGAAATTACTTTATTTCAAAATTTGTTCCTCTAGATTAAATATTATAGATAGTAGTCTTTTCTGTGAATCTATGGCTTTGTTGAATCTCAAAATTAAACATATATTTCTTTTATTCCAGTCTTTCCAATATTGATATTTATTTTAAAACTACTAATTTGGATAACGATAATTTTTAATAAGTATATTATATCATGTTTTTTCTTGCTTTTATGTATTTGTTTATTTTGTCCAACAACTTGTCAAAAACTCTATAACACTAGTATAATAATGGGTTGACACGGAGAGGATATCCAAAATTATAAGAATACTAGTGGTTTGTCCGCGCTTCGCGCGGAATTATTTACATTTTTAGACATTATTTGATATTACTTTGCTTTGAAAATGTTAGCTATATTTGTGAAACCATTATTTTCCACTGGACTTTGCATGTCTAAGATGTCATTATATTAAGTGTCAAAGTCTTTGGGATCATTTAACTTGCATTGTATAATACCTTGTATGATGT